GGGGCCCAGGCCCCATTGGAGCGTACTGACTGGTAGGGCGCGAGCATGGCGACGGCCTTGACAGTCCTCCTCCTCATCCTCATCCTCCTCCTCCTCCCCCTCGTCCTCCTCCTCCCCCTCCTCCTCCTCCCCCCCTATCCTCCTCCTTCTCCTCCTCCTCCTCCTCCTCCTCCTCCTCCTCCCCCTCCTCCTCCTCCTCTTCCCCATGCCCCAGGCATTCTCGAATGATCTCGTAGGGTCACATGTTTTGCAGAAGCGCCTGGCACAAAGAACGACATCTCGGAGCGAGCGCTGGCAACATGACTCGGCCAGTGCAACCGACGTTCCCAAGGACCGCTTGGAAATATAGCCACGCTTCAGGAAGTCGATGGTCATCAGAATTGCTGCAGTCAACCTCAACGCTGCAGCTGCAAACACAGCAGCAGGCGCGGGGACGCAGATTTGAAGGAACAGTGCGCGGCTCCAAAAACTGGCCTCGGCAATTGAAAATACTACGATGCGGTTCCCTGCCCTCTTGGCTGGGAATCCACCAGCATGCCGACGAGGCGCACAGCCCCGTTCTCAATCGATGACGTGGAAATCCGCCACCGCGCCTACAGCACGTAGTGGAGTGTCCCATGATGCTCCTACGATTTTGAAGGAGTGTAGCGTGATCGCCTTTTCGGGCCACCAACGCTCCAACACGGCCCAAGAGGCCCCCAAGATCGGCCAAGGATTGCCCAAGAGGCCCCCAAGGGGGCTCCAAAACGGCACAAGATCGCCCAACGACGGCCCAAGAGGCCCCCAAGAGTGCGCCTAGACGGCCCAAGAGGCCCCAAAGATGGCTCAACAGATCTCCCGAACCCCCGACAGCGTATCATGAAGCGCCTCTGATGGTCCAAGAGAGCCCAGGAGCGGCCCAAGGGCGCTCTGAAAGGCACAAGACGGCCCGAAGGCGGTCTGAGAAGCTCACAGAGGTGGTCACGAGAGCGGGCCCAGAGGGGAACCCGAGCGCACATGTCCAGGCCCTCCACCCCACGATGGCCTCACAGGAGCTCCCCGAGGCCCACGAGGCGCCCCCGAGAGGGCCCAAGAGGCCCCCCACACGGCCCTCGAGAAGACCCCCCGAGAGGTCCCCAAGAGCTCTCCGAGAGCCCCCCGAGAGGCATCCGAGGAGGCGCTGGGATGCATCCAAGAGACCTTCAGCACGTACACGTCGTTCAGTTATAATCGTGCTCGCTTCTAAGTGTGCTCGTTTCGGATTGCTCCTGGCCCCCCCAGTGGCCAGGAAGAGGCCCAGGATGGAACGATCGGAAATGACAGGATCTTGGCCCCCAAAACAACCAAATAACTCTTCGAAGAAGCAAAGTGAACAGTGCATAGTGACCCACGCGAGCCCGGATCAGGTTAAGGGGCCTGCGAGGGTCCCAGCCCCACGCGGCCAGGCCTCCCCCCCCAAAAAGTTGCCTCTAGCGGCCCAAAGACGGCCTCCAACCCAAAGAAAAAACATCATCAACAACAACAACAACAATCATTTAAGACTGGGGACACTCCGTTCTCACCAGTGCCAGGGTTTTCATAGGAGGCGGGCAATACCCCCACTTTGTGGGGGGGCCGGTTCAAGCTCTACCAAATTTCCAAACGACTTTTCGCCACCACCCACACCCAGCTTCCCGCCCTATGACGTTCGGACACTTCACTTCGTGGCCTGCGGACGTCCTTGGCTACTACACGGGGAGGATGGTGGAACCTTTTACAGGACGGGCCTGCGGGACCGGGGATCGGGGGGGGACCGGGGACGGGGACCGGCGGCGGGAGACGAGAGGGACCGTGGGACCCGGGGGAACCGGGGACCGGGGACCACGGGGGATCCCGGGGGGAACCGGGGGGACCCCGGGGACCGGGGACCGGGGAGACCGGGGCGACCGGGGACCGGGGACCTGGGGGGGGACCGGGGACCGGGGACCGGGGACCGGGGACCGGGGACCGGGGACCGGGGACCGGGGACCGGGGGCCGGGGACCGGAGGACCGGGGACCGGGGACCGGGGACCGGGGACCGGGGACCGGGGACAGGGGACCGGGGGCCCGAGACCGGGGACCGGGGACCGGGGGCCGGGGACCGGGGACCGGGCACCGGAGACCGGGGGACCCGACCGGGGACCGGGGACCGGCGGCCGGAGACCGGAGGACCGGGGACCGGGGACCGGGGACCGGGGACCAGGGACCGGGGACCGGGGCAGGAAGACGGATCAGACCGGACGACCAAGGACCAGGGACCATGGGACCGGGGGGATCGGGGACCGGGGACCGGGGCCCGAGCACGGAGGACGCGGAGGACGGAAGAGGACCGGGGACCGGGGACCGGGGACCGGGCACCAAGGACCAAAGACCGAGGGCCAGAGGCCGCGGAGACCGGAGGACCGGGGACCAGAGACCGGGGACCGAGGACCGGGGCCCGGGTACCGGAGCCCGGAGACCGAGGACGGAGGACGCGGAGGACGGAAGAGGACCGGGGACCGGGGCCCGGGGACCGGAGGGCGGAGGACCATGACCGAGGGCTGCGGACCGGGGCCCGGGGACCCGAGGGACCGGACCGGAGGGACATACCGAAAACGGAGCGCCGAAGACCGAGGACCAGACCAAGGACCGACGACAGAACACGGGACCGGGGACCGGGGACCGGACCGGGGGGGGGGAGCCCAGGGTCCCTGACGCCCGCGTAACTACACTGAGCAAACGAGAGAGGACAGCGGAGGAGGGGGAGCGCAGGAGAATACTGAGGTTTTCTCATCCCGTGGTGCATGAAAGCCCATCCAGCCAGACGCGCGCGACTCGTCGAAAACTTGAAGGATGGCAGCTGGGCATGAGACTCGCTGGAACTGGGTAGACAGGGGGAATTCTAGGGGAGGCTCGGAAGACCTGCCCGCCAGCTCGCACTGCCACACGCTGCAGACGCCATCTGCGCACCGCGGTGCTGTCCAGCGCGCGCGCGGCAATAACTGCAAAAAATCCCGCGCTGAAGCAGCCATCTGCGCCCCTTGCGCTGTCCGGCGCGCGCGAGCGAAAGCAATAATCTGGCGTCGCAATCCATGCTGGAGACGGGGGGGGAGGAGGCTCGGAGGATATTGGGGTCAGCGTCCAGTGGCGTCTGAGACCTGCTGGCCCGCTCGCACTGCAACGCGCTGCAGCAGCCTTCTGCGCCCCTCGGCGCTGTCCAGCGCGCGCGCGCGCCAATCAGTGCAAAATCAGGCATCGTAGTGGGCGAAGGGGGAGAAAAGAACATCTTGCGGGCGAAAAACCCGCCAGCGACATCGCACGGTCACGCGCTGCGACAGCCATCTGCGCCCCTTGCGCTGTCCGGCGCGCGCGTGCCAGGCAGTGCAAGAGTCGGCGTCGCAGCAACTGGGTAGACAGGGAAGGGAAGAGGGAGGCTCGGAAAGAGTTTAGCGCCTGGCGGCGTCTGAGACCTGCCCGCCAGCTCGCGCCGCCACGCGCCAGCCCTGGCGCTCTCTCGCGCGCGCGCGTGCCAGTGAGTGTAAAATGTCCCGCGCTGCAACGGCCACCTGCGCCCCTTGCGCTGTCCGGCGCGCGCGCGCGCGCGAGCCAAAGCAAAACTCTGGCGTCGCAATGCATTTGGGAGACGGGGGGGAGGAGGCTCGGACGATATTGGGATCAGCGTCTGGTGAGGCTTGAGACCTGCCCGGCAGCTCGCATTGCACCGCGCTGCTGCAGCCTTCTGCGCTCCTAGGCGCTGTCCAGCGCGCTCGCGCCAGTCGGTGCAAAGTCAAGCGCAGGGAGAGGGAAGGACATCTTGCGGCGCAAGAGCCCGCCAGCGACATCACACGGCCACGCGCTGCAAAAACCATCTGCGCCCCTTGCGCTGTCCGGCGCGCGCGTGCCAGCCAGTGCAAAAAAGTCGGAGCCGCAGTAACTGGGTAGACAGGGGGAAGGATGAAGGAGGCTCGGTGAGAGTTGAGAATCCGGTGGCGCTTGAGACCACGCGAGGCCACAGATGGGCTCGTGGGCGCCCCCATGAGCGCGGGCGGGCGGGGTCGATATTTCCCCGACCAAGTTGCCATCGCACTACGAATCCGCGCAAAGGAGCAGGAAGATGATGTGAGAAAGGTAGGGCGGAGGATCTCTCCCGCGGGCGGCGGGCCCTCCAGCCGAGGCAGAAATCTTCAACGGAGCGGAAGCAATAGCACGAATGGCGGAAGCACGAGCTACCATGCACCAGCATTTGGCTGGTAGTAGGTCCACCACCGCGCTTGCAGCGATTGGGGCGCGTGTGTGTGTGTGTGTGTGTGCGTGTGTCTGCGTGTGCGCGTGCGTGTATTGACGTTGTCGCACGCAGCGTCGCTCGTTTTGAAAGATTCTTGGCGCGGCTCAAGGGGAAAGTGCGCGTGTGTTGGTGTGTGCGTGCGCGTGTGCGTGTGCGTATAGGTGGGTGTGTAAGTGCGCGCATGAGTGTGCGCGTGCGCGCGTGCGCGCGTAGCACTTCACGCTGCGGCACACAGCGTCTTACGCGTCGGAGGACCTCGCAGGCCGCTCGACGCCACACAGAGTGTGTATGTGTATGCCATGCGCGCGTGTGCGTGACCGCGCGTGCGTGGGCGCGTGCGTGCGCGCGGGCGCGTGCATGCGCGCGCGCGCATGCGCGCGCGTGCCCAAAGAAGGCCCATGATGTTCCAAAGAAGCCGAAAGGCCCCGAGAAAGCACCCGAGAAGCATCGAGGCGGCCCCCCCCCCCCTTGGGCGCCCGCCCCGGCGCGCGACGGCGGAGACGCGCGGCAGCGCGAGCGGGTAACAGTAGCGCGCGCGAATCGGAAGCCGCGGCGCAGCACCCGCGACCCTACATCAGCACTTGGCTGGCACCGAGAGAAGCTGGAGCGAGGCGAAGGCGCGGCGCGGGCCATCCCTCCTGGTCCAAGTGGGCGCGCGAGCGCGCGCGGCCCGGCGGGTTGGCGGCTAGTACGGGCGAGAGCGCGCCCCCTGAGCCGACGATGCCGCGGCCCTCCTTCCCTGATTCTTCAGGAACTGCACCCGCGCCTCCGACACCTCGTGGAGCGTAACCCCCGCGCACTTCATGAACTGGGCGTGCATTTTGACCTGCCCCTCGACCTCCTCGGGAAAATCCCGAAATGCCACGACGTCGTTGACGAAAGTGCAGATCCTTGGGAAATCCGCGGCCAATGCGAGCATCAAAGAGCGGAGCTCGGCCGTCGGCACGCACCATCGGTTCTTGGTCTTCTTGACCGTGCCCCCGCGGCTGGCGGCGCCGCCGCGCGGCGCGGGCGGCGCGGGCGGGTCGGGCAAATGGACGCGCAGGCGCTCCGCTATCTGGGGCACGGTGAGAGAGTCGGCACCCAGCAGGAACAAGCGCTGCACGTAGTGCCTGTCGGTGATGATGGTCTTGCCGTCCTCGTCCGGGCGAATCAACATGGCGCCGTTCTCTCCCATGCCCACCTTGAAGAACGCCTCCATGGGCTCCAGGTCCGCCAGGTCCATCCACTGGGGGACCGCAGGCGCCCCCTCGGCCCGGCCGGGGGGCGCCGCGCTCGCCGCGGCCGGCAGCGCAACCGCCGCGGCCTGGCCGGCGGCGGCGGGAGGCGCAAGCGAGCCGATGTCGGCCTGGTCCGAGGGCACGGCGGTCGGAGCGGCCTCCTCCGCCGCGGCGTGGCCAGCGGCGTCCCCCGGCGCCGCCGCTTCTGCCTCGGGCGATAGCTCCGCGGGCGCCTCCGCGGCACCGCCGCCAGCAGCCCCCGCGGCGTCCGCAATTTCCGCGGCCGCGGCCGGACTCCCCCCGACGCCGCCCTCGCCGCCTGCCTGCGACAAGTAAGCGGGCGCGAAACGGCGGCGGTCGTAATCCCCGCGAACGGGGCGTCGCACGGCACCCGCGGCGTCGCGCTGGTCGTCCGGCGGGCCGACCAGGTCAGCGGTCTGGCGCGCGAGCTTCTTGATCTGCAGACTGATCTGCACGATGCGCGTGCTCAAGTCCACATCGTCCGTGGTGATGGCGAACGTCGCTGGATCGGGGTCTGCGTCGGCGGCTGCCATGCGCAAGATGCGCAGAAGGCCTGCCCAGACCCCAATCTGGCCAGCCGCCGCCCCGTGCTGGGCCTCGCCAGGACCATCCTCCCCGCGGGACGCGCTGGCGAGGAGGCTCTGCTCGAGCTGCGCTCCGAGGAGGTGTTCGCGCGCCGTCGGCTCGAACGGGATCGTAAAGTGCGGCCTGGTCTTGAAGAAGCCGATGACGCGCCGGACCCCAGGAACCAGCGCCGTGTACGGCGATGGCAACATCCACCTCGCAGAAATCCGACACTGCGTCTGCAGAGTGCCAGCGTCGTACCGATACCGCAGGCGCACCTCCACGCCGTCCGGCAGGTTGATGCTGTACCCCTGCTCGGGCCCCACGAACGACGCGGCGAGCTGCGTCCCGGAGCCCGGGACCGCGGGGGGGGGCCGCGCCCTCGGCCTCGTCCAGGGGCCCAGCCTCCAAGTCCCGCTCGGCTTCGTCGGGCTCCTGGTAGTAGTGGCTCCAGCCGAAGCTGTCCGCCAATCTTGCCGTCAATGGCAACCACGTCCAGCGGGGGTAAGCGACCCCGTTCTCATCTCGCGGCATCTCGAAGTCAGCGGGGAGGGGCTCGTGGCGCTTGGCGGCCGGGCCGGCGCAGTAAATGCTCCGCTCTTTCGTGGCCGCCACGTGGTTGCCGACGTGCCCTCTCTCCACGGCCATCAACATTTTCCAATGCCAATTGCCGATGATGGCCACGTTGACGGCAGGGGACCCAACGCTGCCATACGACCCACTGGTCCTCGTGTCACTCTGAAGCTTGCCCGTGCCAATGAGGGTGTTCAGCGTCGAAGCGTGTTGGGACGGCGCGGTGTCCCTGGCAGCCCCGCCGCGGGCGTCGGTGGCGGTGAGGCCGAGCTGGCCAAGGAAGCTGTAGGCCTCGTCCAGGTTCACCATCGTGCTGTACCAGGCGCGGGGCGCCCAACCTGAGAGTACATCAAGTTCCTTGACTTCCTGCGGGGCCGCTGACACATCGACACCCGCGACCAACGCAAGGCCCCGGGCGCGCCGGAAGCTCGCTCTGGCCGTGGGGGCCAACCCGTAAAACGCGCGGCTGAATCTCCGCTTCGGCCGAGTGGCCCAAGTAGAAAATCAGACAACGCAGCGAATCACTATCGGGCGCGAGGGGTCGGGAAGCTCTAGGGGGGCACCGGCGAGCACTGGGGTTCCTCGCCCATCCGACGTTCCAGCCACGGCAATCCTGGATCTGATCCCAGTCCCCCGAGCACCGGGCGAAGAGCTCCGTGGGGGTGAAATCCTGCATCCCGATCGTTTTCACCGTGAGCTTCGTCGGCTTCGCGTCCTCCCACGCGCGCTGGGGAACGCCCGCGGGCGGCGCCGCGGAATCGAGGCGCTCCTGCACCACCGCTGCAATCTCATCGTCGGCAGCAGCAATCATGGCCGCGACCGCCGCGGTGATGCGGCTCTTCCCCTGCTGCGCGTCGCCCCCGCACAGCACCATGGCGGAGAGCGGCGTCGGATCAGCGTTCCTGGGGGGGGGGGGCGCAGACGCGCGAGCAAGGGCGCAGGAGTGGAGGGCGAGTAGTGGCCATGCCAGGAGATGGGGGGGAAGATGAAATCCAGCCGGGAACGCGGGGTTGAAGCCGCGGCCCGGGGGCCACGCGCCCGGCGGCGCCCGGGGCTTACTTGAGCCCCTCTGAGGACTCTTCACCGCGGGCACGCGTGCCAGTCTGAATACATGCGTGGATGCCCCTGTTGCGCCCGCATGGACCACGGGGCCAATTCTGGGTGGGGATGGAACCAAATCGAAACGATAATGATATTCATGATGTCAGGGACCTTGCGATGCGCACTTGCTTTCCCAGTATGACAAGGATCACTTAATGCTGCATTAGAAATGGCGGTGTGAATACGTTTAAGAATACTTGAAGCAGTAGCAGTAGCAGTCGCAGTATCAGTAGCCGTAGCCGTAGCACTAGCAGCATCAGTAGTAGTAGTAGTAGTAGTAGTAGTAGTCCTAAAAGTAGTAGTAGTAATAGTAGTAGTAGTAGTAGTAGTAGTAGTAGTAGTAGTAGTAGTAGTGGTGTAGGAGTAGTAGTAGTAGAAGTAGTAGTAGTAGTAGTAGTAGTAGCAGTAGTAGTAGTAGTAGTAGTAGTGCTAGCAGTATTAGTGTCAGTACCATTAGTAGTAGTAGTGGTGAAAACAGTCGTCGTGGTAGTAGGAATCGTCGCCGTAATAATAATAGTAGTAGCGGTAGTAATAGTCGTAGTAGTAGAAGTAATCGCAGTAGTAGCACTTAGAGCCCTGCGAGTCCAGAGCTGGATGTTAGCGCCATTGTTGACGCCAGCCATCGCGGCCGCCGTGAGGGCGAGCACGGGCAGAGCGCCCTGGCCGGTGGCCACCTCGAGCGGGCGCGCCAACTTCTGCAGCTCCGCGGGCAAGTGCTCGCTCGCCGAGAAATGCACGTCAACGTAATCGTTCACGGCGTCTGCCATGGCCTGGATCTCTGCGGCCGAAATTTCGGGCGCCCGGCTAGCAGGGGCCATGCCCCGCAGGAAAGCGTCGAGGAAGCAGCGCCCTCGGCGCGCGGATCTTGAGGGCCGAAGCAGCTATGGGCGGCGATGACGATCGGTGCGACGGGCGCCGACGGCGCGGGCGGTCGCCGGCGGAGCCCCCGCGTCGCCGTCGATGAAAAGGGATCTCCCACGGCGGGGGGGGCGGAGGGTGGGGGCCGGGGGTGGGGGGGGGGGCGCGCGCAGACGCCCAGTCAGGGGTCCAGGGGGCCGAAGGCCCGTGCGCTCATCGCGACGAATGGCACGCGACAAGAAAAAAAAACAAAAAAAAACACAAAAAACAACACAAAAAAAACAAAAAACAAAAAAAACAAAAACAAAAAGAAAAAAAAAAAATATTTGAAAAAACAAAAATAAAAGACAAAACAAGAAAACAAAACAAAAAAACAACAAAAGTAGAAAAAACAAAAAACAAAAAAAAAAAAAAAATTATAAATAAAAAAAATAAAAAAAAAAAAAACAAAAAAATCTAAAAAAAAAATAACTAGCCGCGATTATGGGCGACTGTGACAAAGAATGCCAAGATGACGATTAGAACTAGAGCGGAGCGGCGCGCGGTGCCGGGTTGAGAGGGGGGGGTAGCGGGGAGCCATGGAACGAAATGGAAGCGAACGGATGGGGGGGGGTAGGCGAGCGCGGGGGGGCGCGGGGGCTGGGCGCACGAACGGGGAGGCATGCGCGACGGACGGTCGGCGAGACGATTGCAGCGGCGGCAGCAACGGCAATGGCGATGGCGACGACGGTTGCGACGACGACCCCGTCGAGGAGCTGTCTTGTCACTCGCTGGCAGCACGCGGGCAGTGCAAGGCAGAATATCCCAGGAAGGGCAGCGCGAACCTCGCGCGCTGCGAGCGGCCAACCGCAGCTATGCAGGCGCCCTTAAACGGGCCGCGCCGCCGGGGGCGGCCGCCGGGCGATGGCGCCGGGTCGCCGACAGAGCGCGTCCAGACGCGCGTTTACATCGCTGCCGCGGAAGCGCGGAAAGCCCTGATTCTGCTTGACGGGCTGCGCGCCCAGAGCCTCCTCCAGCGCGGGCCACGTCAAATTCAAGGGGCGGAGATCGAAGACAGCGCTCATGCGCAGGACGTCGAACGAGAGAGCTGGGGCGAGAAACGCGGTCAGCTCGTCTCGAAGGCGCGCCGGAACCGCGCGCACCAGGCGCTGCGCGTCATCGGCATTGCAGCCGCGCTCCGCACGCCCCGCGCAGACCGCGACTCCGGCGGCGGTATCCGTGCCGAAGATGACCCGGGCCCCAGGGCATGCGAATGCCATTGGGTTCGCAGGGCGCCCTTTGTAAAACGCCTGGCATTCAAAGAATTTGTCACCGTCAGCGGCGGCAGCCGCCCACACCGGCCTGAGTTTGCGACGCACTATGGGCGGGTGTGTCGCCTCGGGGGCCGCGCCCGCGGCCGCCGGCGCCGCGCCCGGGGCCGCGCCCGCGGCCGGCGCGCCCGCGGCGGGAATCCCCGCGGGCACCAGGCGGGGTGCAGGCGCGCGGTCTTGCCGGGCCGCTTTCCGGGCCGCCCTGGCAGCCCCGCGCGCTGCTTCCCAGGCGCGCAACTCATTGTGGACGTCCACGCATTCGCCCACGATGAAATCACAGACCCAGCGCCTCATGTGGTGGACGGTGTGGGCCAAGGGCGAGAGCTGCGCGTTGACAGACTCGCATATCGGCGTTGGGAAGTCACCCAGGGCGGCAGCATTCGCGGGCACGTCTGGGAAGCACTCCGCCCTGCACGTGGCGTCGACGTGCCCTTTGCTGTGCGGCCGGTCGACGATGTACCGGAAGTGCCCAAGACGAGCGGCCAAGCTGCCGGGCGGCGCGCCCTCCGCCCTGCCCTTGGCGAACAAGCGCACATGGCACGCGTCGTCGTGCACGAGCGTCTTGAGCTCTGGAACAGCAGTGGCCACGTCGGCCAAAAAGCAGTAGCGCTGGGACAGCGTCTCAGCAGTGATCACCTCTTCAAGAGCACCGACCACGCCACTCTCTGAGACTGCGGCTAGGAACCCTGCCGACCGACTTGCCGCGCGGATGGCCGAGACGGACTCCTTGTGCGTCTTGCAGGGGCACTTGGCCTTGGCGTGCCCAGAAGCCCAGTCGCCCAGGACCAGGCGCGGTTGCCGCCGGAGAAAGTCCCTGCGCTCTTGACGCTGGCGCTTGCGCTCTTGGATGACCTGCTCGGCGTTCCGGGCGAAATACGCCTGCACGGTCGAATCGGGGACGGTGCAAGCTGGTTGCCAGTTTCCGAAGCCGGCCAGGCGCACTTCGACGTCAAGAAATGCACCAGTGGACAGGGGCGCCCTCACGCGGTGTGCTTCAATGTCGCCGGCGAGGGCAGGGCGGTCGGCGAGCTCCTGGTGGCGGCGGCAGAGCACCCCCTTCTGCAGAGGCGACTCAGGGCAACCACGCACCAAGTGCAAGTCTAGGGCTTCGTGGTACACGGCCTCGGCGCACGGCGCGCCGCACGAACGCCGGTGCAGCTTCGCGTTGCCGTCAACGCAGACGATGTCCAGCCTATCTCCACTGGCCCGCCACGCGCAGAGTCGGCGCTCCTTCATGAGAGGGCGGTACCAGGAAGCGCAGCTCTGCAGAAGGTCCTCCAAGGGCAACTCCAACACAGAAGCCGCCAGGGCAACGCGCGCGCCCTCGCACGCTGAAGATCGCTGCCACAACTGGTACCGCACCCAAGCGGACTCCAAGGATTGCTCCAACGTCTCCGTGGCGACTTCGGGTTCCAACGCCCGCAGGATCTGGGCTTCTCCAAGGAAGGACGCCCTGTGCGTGTACAGGCGGTAGGCCCACCGCTGCGCCCACTGAGCATGCACGCCGAAGGACTTGTTCACCATGAAGATCTCTGACACTGGACAACCAACATCAAGCTTCTTCACGAAGCCGCCTTGTCCGTGCCCAGCAGGGGACTCAATGTACCCGCGCCAGTACTTGTGCACGCGCCCTTCGTCGCAACCGTTCTCGCAATGCTTGGCGCCGTGTCGCATTGCGAAGCACCGCGGCTCCGCCACGACCAAGCATTTCACTGGGCGCCTTTGTGGTAGTGGAACCAAAAGCCCCAAACAGAGAGGGCAACATGTCCGGGTCGTCGCGAGCTCTGGCAAGAGCGCCGCCCCAGCGCCTGCAGTACCCGAGTCCCCGCTCGATGCGGCTGGCGCGGCAGGGCCGCGCGCGGCGTCGTCAGAGCTGGCGTTTGCCCCCGCAGCCCGCGGGCCCAGTCCTGGGCGCGCAGCAGCAAAGCAGTGCCGCGAAGGCGCAACCGCAGCGCCACTGGCGCCCGACACCACGCAGGATGCGGCCGCCGCGGCGGAGCCACGCGCGGCGTCGTCTGAGCTGACGGGCGCCCGCAGAGCCGGCGGACCCAGCCCTGAGCGCGAGGCCGCGGGGCCCGCCCTCCAAAGCGGCCGCACCGGCGGCGGAGGAGCACTCGCGGCTGGCTGGCGGTGCGCCCGCGGGCCCACTGGTCGCCACAACGGTCGCACTGTCTCCCCGGCGGCGTCCGCGGCGCAGCGGCCACTTTGCTCGCGACCACCTATTGGCCCAGGCCGCGCTGCAAGAGGTTGCTGCGCCATGGGGCGAAGCGGTGGAGAAGCGGAAACCGAAGGCTGGCGCGAAGACCATAACGGCCGCACGGGCAGCATGCACGACAGCGAAGTGAGCCCCCGCCAGACGCTAGCGAAAGCTCGAGCCCAAATGCTTGCGCAGACAACAGTTGAAGAAAAAGAGACGGAGCAAGGTGGCGAAGGGGACGGGTCCACGGAGGGCGGGGCCCGTTCCCTGCTTTTCGTGCCCACATCCTCCTCTTCCCTCTACACGTCCTCAACATGAACACTACTCTCGTTGGCTGCCTGCTTGGCTGCCTGTTGGCTGCCTCTTCGGTTGCCTGGTTGGCTGCCTCGTCGGCTGCCTCGTTGGCTGCCTGGTCGGCTGCCTCGTCGGCTGCCCCGTTGGCTTCCGGGTGGGGTGCCTCGTTGGCTGCCTCGTCGGCTGTCTCGTTGGCTGCCTTGCGGGCTACCTCGTTGGCTGCCTCGCTGGCTGAGGGGTGGGGGTCGGGACCTCTGGGTGTGGACACGGCTAATGGTGCAACGCAAGGTCGACTCCGAGCGTGCCGCGGTATGCAGGGCGGGAGTTGAACGCCTGAGACCCCCTTAGACCCCTTCGTCAATGTTGACACGGCCAATGGACAGTGCTCTGGTGCCCTCCCGCCGTCAGACTGAGCACTGCAAGGAATGGACGCCGTGGAGCCCTCCAGCAGAGACCCCTTCAACCCTCCTCGTCAATGTTGCTGAGATGCACCGTCCTTCGAGGGGGTGCTCAACGCCAATATGAAAGAGGGGGGTCCGGGGGTGAGGGCCACGCACACCCACCCGAGACCACGCGGCCCCCTGGGTGGCTGCGAACGGCGCACCTGTCGCCACTTTCGTGGGGTCCTCGGAGGTCCAGCGGGGTGGAAGGCCAAGCACACCTTGCCGAGACCTCGCGGCTCCCTGGGCGGCTGCGCCGCCGCCGCCGCCCCCGTTGCCGCCGCCGCCGCCGCCGCCGCCGCCGCCGCCGCCGCCGCCGCCGCCGCCGCCGCCGTCGTCGTCGTCGTCGTCGTCGTCGTCGTCGTCGTCGTCGTCGTCGTCGTCGTCGTCGTCGTCGTCGTCGTCGTCGTCGTCGTCGTGTCGGTCGTCGTTCGTCCGTCGTTCGTCGTTCGTCGGTCGTTCGTCGTTCGTCGTTCGTCGCTCGTTGGTCGTCGTCGTCGTCGTCGTCGTCGTCGTCGTCCGCTGCCGTCCATTCGTCGTTGCGTCGTCGAGTCGTCGTCGTCGGTCGCCGTCGCCCCACCCCCATCACCCGCTCCCAGGCGTCGCCGGGCATGTCGTCGAAAAAGGGAGGAAGAGAGAGAGAGAGAGAGAGAGAGAGAGAGAGAGAGAGAGAGAGAGAGAGAGAGAGAGAGAGAGAGAGAGAGAGAGAGAGAGAGAGAGAGAGAGAGAGAGAGAGAGAGAGAGACGAGAGAGGGAGAGAGGGAGAGAGAGAGAAAAAGAGAGAGAGAGAGAGAGAGAGTAGAGAGAGAGAGAGAGAGAGAGAGAGACGAGAGACTAGAGACGAGAGAGAGAGAGAGAGAGTGAGAGCGAGAGAGAGGTAGAGAGATAGAGAGAGAGAGAGAGAGAGAGAGTAGAAAGAAGAGAGAGAGGAGGGAAAAAAGAGAGAGGGAGAGAGAGAGCAGAGAGAGCGAGATCCATCTGCGAGGGAGGATCGTGGGTGTCGCATGTCTGCTAGCTTCGCGTACTCCGCTAGAGATAAAACCAAAAAAAAGCTTGCGGCTGGAAATCACATGCCGCATGATGTGCGGCAGGGTGCACACACGAACGTGCCGCGCACGCGATGTGTGGTGATGGTGATGATGACGATCGATTGGTACATGTGGTTCGATTTTAGTTTCCACGTAAGATAGGCACGGCACGGCCCCGGTCGGCATGGCCTCGGCTGCCTTTTGCAGCGAAAGGCGGTTCCGGGTTCCACGCTTCCTCCTCCTCCTCCTCCTCCTCCTCCTCCTCCTCCTACTACTACTCCTACTCCTATTCATCCTCCTCCTCCTCCTCCCCGTCTTCCCTCTCCCACCTCCTCCTAAGATCATGGCGACGCGAGAAATCGCAACCGCCGGTTTTTCAACTTGGTCGGCCTCTGGAAGCCGTTCCCTGGCCCCGGGGCCGCCGAGATACGGCTCAGGACGCAAAGCCGGCCCCATGGAGGGACAGCCAAGGAGAGACCGGGCGAGAAGGTTCTTTTGCGCACCGAGCCGGCAGCAGCCTGGGAAAATAGTTTACTGGATACTGGACGCGAGACAAACCGCGGCGGTCACTGCTCTGTCCTTAGAGAGCCACATCCCTAGTATATAAATGCTGGAATGCTGGAGAAGGAGGGCGGGAGAGAGGGAGGGAGGGAGGAAGGGGGGGAGGGAGAAAGGGAGGGAGGGAAGGAGGGAAGGAGGAGAGAACAGGGCCCGAGATAAAAAATTGGTCCTGCCCGCACCAGGGCGGTGCGAAAACCGGATCCAAGAGGGCCTCGCCCCCCCCGCCTCTCCGATGGCCCCCCGTGAGGCCATCGCTTACGGGGTGGGTGTCACGTTGCGCGCTGTCCAGACCCACTCGTCGTCCTCGCCCGCAAACTTGGCCTTCTGCTTGCGGAGCTCGCGCGTGAAGCAGACCACCGCCCTCCTCTCGGCATCGCGCTGCTGTTTAATGTACTGATCCAGCGCCGCCTTCTCCCGCATCTCCACGAGGCCGGTCAGAGTGACCCACTCGAGATTGCCCTGGCGGAACCCCTGCGCGAAGCCGCCGGCGGTGGCAGAGGACTGCGGCGAGTACCGCAGGAGGACCTGGCGGGCGGGCGGAGAACACGCAATGCGAAGCCCAGGGCAGCGCCCGCACGAAGTGGCCTACAGTTGGCTCCGGGCATTCAGAATGTGGCCCGGGAGTTGAGTTCTGGGAACTCGAAGAGCACGAAGTGGCCTGCAGTTGGCTCCGGGCATTCAAAATGTGGCCCGGGAATGGAGTTCTGGGAACTAGAAGAGCACGAAGTGGCCTACAGTTGGCCCCGGGCATTCAAAATGTGGCCCGGGAATGGAGTTCTGGGAACTCGAAGAGCACGAAGTGGCCTAGAGTTAGTAGCTCCGGGCATTCAAAATGTGGCCCGGGAGCGGAATTCTGGGACCTCGAAGACCACAAAGTGTGTAACTGTATGTTTGAAAGGAGCTCTCGCGGCACCCGTCCGGGTCCTGCCCAGACCCCCCTGGGGAGTCATGGTGATCTCTTTTGACCCCATTAGAAACCAACCAGTCTTCGCTGTTAGGTAAAAGCGCGGACGGCGAAACGTGCACGTGACCCGAAATCGAACGCGCGGCGCTAACATCGGCAACATCGGTTTGCGAGCTTCCGAAAATACATGAACTAAGCTTCATGGAAGCAGCAAGTTGCGTGCCTGGATTGGGGGAAACATGATGAGCTACCTTGGGAGCCCCGCAGAAGCTCTCACAATTCAATTCCAGCGCCCTAGGATCCAAAAGGCATGGCGCGCTCGTTTTCACGGCCCTTCCGAGGATGGTGAAACGCCGCAATGCATTCACGACTACACGTGATCTACGTGACATGACCCGCACGGAAACAAATTGCGAGCGAAGGCGGCACAAATTGTAACCCCGAAACCAGCTGTAACTGGACGCATCGAACCACAAAAACGTCATGACACATGCTCTTTAATCAATCGGAGCGGACCGTGCCCAGCTGCTTCTTGTCCTTATTGAAGAAACTGTCCGTGGAGAGGAGGAGTCCGAAGAGGAGCTTCGGGAGGGCCTTGTCTGCTTGCTTGGCGGCGCAGTCCTGCTCGTCGCCGCCCGGGTCGCCGCCGTCGGGCGGCCCGCCCGGCCCGCCCGGCGGGCCGCTGGGCGCCTGCGCTTGGAGGAAAGGCTGCGCGGCGTTTGCCGGAGCGGCTGGTGGAGCGGCCGGCGCCGCCGCGGGCGTCGCCGCCGTCGCCTGCGGCGCAGGAAGAGCGAGCCGGGGCTGCGCGGCTTCTGCAGGAGCTGGCGGTGAAGTGGCCTGCGCCGCAGCGAGCGCGAAAGCGGCCCTCTTCGCAGCTACCACTGGGTCGTTGTTGCGGCGCTCCTTCTTCCGGTCCTTCTTGTTGCCGCCATGGCGGCCCTGCGGGTGCGAGGAAGTTGACATTGGAACAGCTGTTGTCGGCGTTCCTGCCTTGCGCTCAGCGCCTGGGAGCTTTCGACGGCTGCATATAAGCTCCCAGTGCGCCCGCCGCACCCGCTCCCCTGCCCCTAATATCAATGTTGTTGGCTGGGCAGCTCGTCAAGTCGCCAAGCAGAGGGTAACACCGGTGTGTGCGAAATGAACGACCGTGGCACGCGGAGCGCGCCAGACGATTCACAGTTGCCTCCACATCACAACCAGATCATCGCACAGCAATCGCACGCAAGACATCGTTTGATTCACAGTTGCCTCCACATCACAACCAGATCATCGCACAGCAATCGCACGCACGACATCGTTCGATTCACAGGCCAACATCATCGCATCACAGCCTCTGCACGCACATCTTGGCAAGGAAGATGGTTTGAAGTCTCCTCCTCCTCCTCCTCCTCCTCCTCCTCCTCCTCATCCTCCTCCTCCGCCTCCTCC